ACAACCATGAGCAAAATTTTGAATACTTGAAATTTACCAATATCCCCTAATTGTTGCCGCCAGTGTATACTTACTATTATTGCAAAAAATTAATTTGTAAACAGTAATTTTAAAAAAGTTGATAACAGAATTTTGTACAAAATAAATTGATCTACGAAAAAGGTCCTATGATATTTCGTAATAATTCCGAGGTTATTTGTAGAGCGTTTGATGTTCTATAAAAATTTGTTTTTTCGATTTAGTCTATTGATCCGTTTACGAGTTATATAATTTCAAAATTAAAAATACCATGTTATTTAAATGAAAAATAGAAAAAAGCGATAATCGATTTCTTGATAATAATAACAGGCTCCCGAGTCTATTGAATTAAAAAAAATAGTGTTTTAACAAAGAAATCTAGGTAAGTTGGGTTAAATTGACTATTATAATTTTGAATATGTGGCCTACATTGTTCAGACTTTTTTCAACAGTTTTTGAGATATAGTTAATTTTTCATGTAATATGGAATTATCTATATGACTAATTTATTTTAATAGAGTACACAGAAGAAACGCTAGAATAGCATGAATGGGTGAGCCATTAAACCAATGGGATCTTGTAATCCGTATTCCTGAATAACTGTTCCTATAATACCAATAGGTAGTTTGCACTTGGTTTTTAATCGTTTAGGTACTGTTTTTAAATTAACCACAAAAGTTATGATAACTTAGTTATCGCTTCTAAATCTATTGATTTTTATATTTATATTTATTTGTTAGAATGTTAGAATGTTATTGAATTAAATACTAATTTGATTTATTTAATAACGTTACTTACTATAGTATGTATACATTGAACGCAATAAATTCTTTGACATTTGGGCAAAATGTTTCCCTATTTTGTTTTAATCTATTACTATAGTAATTAATTGAGCAAATAACAATTTAGATTGCTTCAATTTTAATGCTATTGCTTTAATTCTAATGTTAGATTTTTTTATGTGTAGTTAATATAAAAATATATCACTTAAATTTTTTTACTACATTTGAACGAATAACCATTAATAATAAAATAATAAAATATTAAAATTAATAATTAATATGGAGAAAAATAATACTTAATTATAAAGAAAATTGGTTCTTGCAAGTGTTATTTTAAATGACTAATAGAGAGAACACAAAGTGTAATAATTGCCAGCTATTTATTTGTTTTCAAACCATTATATTTTGATTTAATGGATGTGGAATCCATTGTGGATACATTTAATAAGTATTTTAAAAATAAAATTATTAAATACATTAATACATTGTTTATCAGTTTATGTTGTTTACCTGACCAAGATGGGCTTAAATATTTGTCAACAACTTAATGCAAATATTCTAATTTTAAGTTTGTTTATTATCAGTTATTATAACATGAAAAATGTATAATTAATAAGGTTGAAAACATTTTAGTAATACTATAATAAAACATAACATTTTATTAAAAAAAATATCAAATAAGATACTTTAAGTCTTAAGAAAAGATTTAGAAAATAAATAACAGTTGTTCAAATTTATATGCATTAAACCTTAAATTGCCAAATTTTTACCTTTGAATATGCATATTGTGTTTTTTGAAAAAGCCTTTTTCTCGTCAACTTTAGAAAAAGCTTGATTATATATAACGTTATAACGTTAAAAGAAATTAGTCAAAAATTACTAATTTAATACACTCACAGGCAAAATAATCGATCCACACAAATTTTTGATGAATTTCAATCGCAAATAACTTTTTTATTTGATGTCGGATTTAAACGAATATTAAAGAATATTGTAGATAAATTAATGGACAATCGCGCACATTTTAAAAAATTACTAAAAAATAGACGTACGTTTATAATATACAGGTTTAAACAAAAAGATGTTTTTTACCATAAGTTTAAGACACTCTGTAGAGTGGCAAAACCGTATATTGTTCTAAATTAAGTTTTATTTATCAAGTCACATCTATTCTTAACAGTTTTGTTTTTGGTTTCCCTCGATAATTTATTTTTGTGGAAAATATAGATTTTTAAAAAAAACATTGCAATTTCCAGTATTTTTCTGTGTGAAGAACTAAGGTTGCTATGGTCCATCCATAGGCTATGGATAATGACAGTGACAATTTTGTTGAATCATCCCATATTTGGACATGCATGTCATACACGGCTTTCAAAACCTATCAAATTGTTTTTTGCAAATTGATGTTTAAATTTTGAGGTGTCTTCTTACTTTAAAAAATGGATATGTCTTCGACTGATGTTGCCAGAGCCATTAATTTAGTTCAGGATGGATGGTCACAGTGTTGCGGGGCAAGTGTTTTAAACGTCTCAAGAAGTAAAGTACAAAGAGCAACATCAGTGGGAGACATTTTTAAAAGTAAGAAGACACCTCAAAATTAAGACATTAATTTACAAAAAACAATTTGATAACTTTTGAAAGCTGTATATGACATGTCCACTGTCACTGACATCCTCCATAGGCTATGGATGGACCATAGCAACCTTAGTTCTTCATACAGGAAAAATATTGGAAATTGCAATGTTTTTTTTAAAAATCCATATTTTCCACAAAAATAAATTATCGAGGTAAACCAAAAACAAAACTGTTAAGAATAGATGTGAATTGATAATTAAAACTTAATTTAGAACAATATACGGTTTTGTCACTCTACATAGTGTCTTAAACTTATGGTAAAAAACATCTTTTTGTTTAAACCTGTATATTATAAACGTACGTGTATTTTTTAGTAATTTTTAAAATGTGAGCGAATCTCCATTAATGTATCCACAATATTCTTTAATATTTGTTTAAATCCGAAATCAAATAAAAAAGTTATTTGCGATTGAAATTCATCGAAAATTTGTGTGGATCGATTATTTTGCCTGTGAGTGTAGTTATTAGTGGTTGCTTTTTCACTTGTACCATGGAATATCATGGTATCCCAAAATTTAACAGACAATTCTTATGTAAAATTGCCCCCTGAATCTGAAAATGTCGTCAAAAGTTAAAAAAGTGGAACAGTTTTTGAGATATAGTCAATTTTCCATTTAATATGGAATTGACTACCTACACAGAAAGAAAAATTTGATTAATAGTTAATAAATATAAGTTTAAGGCATATATGCTAACATACAGTATAGCAATATACTAAATATATTACTAAAATTATTTTTAAAATTGTATTCTAAATAATAGAATGTGGTTTTCTTAATAGTAACCTGGGATAAGTTAAAGGCTATTGATTTAATGTTAGTGGATGTAGGTTTGTTGTTAATATACTTAGTTTGTTCCAAATATTTATAAAAATATCAGAAATTATAATATAAATTGGTAACTGTTATTTTACGTTAAATAAACTTAAACCTTGGTATGCTGATATTAAGTTTAAGTTGCAATAATTATCAGCATTTGAATGTTGTTACAAAATATAATATTCTTTATAATATCAATCAAAAATTAACTTTTAGGAGATAAATTATAACTATCATTATAACCGAGTTGTGCGAAAAGTAAAAAGGTAACTATTAGCGAATGAGTTATTAACAGCTGATATAGGCATGATGTACGCCATGTAAGTCAGTGCACTGAGAATACTCATGCGGTGAGGTTGATATAATGACAGAATAAGAGAACTTTGGGGTTTGTACTTACTTATTATAAATATCTAGTTTTGCTTTTCCAAAAACTGTGCTATATAGGAGATATGCCATAATTAATACGCCGAAATCGTGTTTTTCCACCATGATAGAAGTAATAAGCGTTTGAACCATGAGGTTTTTTTGTTGTTATTTTCTAAACAATTAGGTAATAGTTTATACTAGTAATAATAATTATTATTATATAAATTGTTTTAATGCTGGTGGATGTACATAAGTATTATTTGTTAAATTAAATTTCGTATTTATACTTTTTAACCATGCTGTTTGCATAATCATATGCTAACATAATACTTACTTTCATAGATTAACTATTAGCTGATGGAAAAATAACTGATAACTCAGAAAATGTGATTATTATAATAAAATACTAATAGAAAACCAAATAACATAACAGTTAGTAAATACAATATTTAAAATAATAAGGTAATTTTAATAGTTATTAAAGTGATTTAACTATTAATATTTCTAAACCTTTCTATTAATAAATAAAAGGTAAGGTTAAGTACTTCTTTATACCTTGTAGTATTATGACTGTTAATTCATATAGGTTTGGCAGAATACGAATCCACTAAAGGGTAACTATTACCTTGTAACAGTTAATGTTATTATTTCTTTTTCTCTGTGTATATATCAAAAACTGCTCCACTTTCAAAATTTTATGGTAGTTTCGGATTCAGGGGACAATTTAACATAAGAATTGGGTGTTAAATTAGTTATTTTTCACTAGTTCATTTAATGTTTATAAACATTAGTTACGTTAATACCTATAAAAAAACTAAATCAAACTAACTCACAATGTAAGCTCATTAAATTTGACATAATAAACTTCATGGTATCTAAAGCCATTTACAGATGACAGCGATAGATATAATGTTTTTTTTTTATATTAACAATATTTTTTTTAAGCTTGGTACCAACAAAAATTAGTATTAGTATTCTAAAAAAACATGAAACTATAGGTGACAGTTGCTACTAGAAATCATTGTGTTGCCAACCTAGTCATATTTTAAATTTAAATATATTAAAAATAGAAGCGATATTGTTGTACCGATTTCGAATAAATCAATGTGATCAGATTTGATAATTTAAAAACGTTCACTTTAAAAACAAAAATCCAAATAATAAGAAAAAAACACATGTAAAATAAGCTATGATGACGTGGTTATAGACGAGGAAAATGTTCCAAAAAAACAGTTATCTAATAGGTATGGAACGCGAAGCTAGATGGTGCGTGGTACCGCGTCAAAAAATCAACTCATCCTGACTAAAAAACAAATGAAACTCAGGCAGGCAACCAACAATAAAATAATCTATGTATATAAAATTTTATCTGACTTACCGTATGTTCGTTGATAATCAGGTTTTGTAGACATATCGTTCGTTATCAACACACCACTATCAACTAACACAATGTTCATTCGAAAATGCGAACAGTATTTCCAAAGCAGGCAGTACGGAGAGAACGGTCGAACAAGTGTTTGAACGATGCGAGCTTGTTTCTCGGCACCATTACGAGATAGAGGGGAGTCGTGGCCAGCTTAGTACCGATCGAAACGGTGGTGGGGATAAGAACGCCTTTTATTTGTGCTATACTGTACTATTTTGAAGCTAATGAGTGTGTGCATACGATGGTCATCTCGGACCTTTTTCGTGGATCCTACGTGTTTATTCAAAATGGCCGAACATTCGTTGTTGTGCTACCTACACACGACGGCTAAGTCGCCATATTTGATTTAACTAATTTTCGATTTACATACATGCTTAAGTAGGAAACGCAAGGTATCGTTTTTTATGTGGAAACCCTTAATAAATAAATATTTAATTTTGGTTTAACTTTTTTAACCTTTCAACTTCAGAATCAGAATAGCTATAGCTGGGTATACCCACACAATTTTCTTTATAATAACAAAATAATAAATCTGCTTAAATAGTTCCAAACTATAGTTATGGTATTTAGGAATTACAGTTAAATTGGCTATTATTAATTTAGCCATATCTAACTTTAAATTTTATAAATAACTTTTTATGTTAGCTATGAGTCATTCCAAATAAAAACACCAAATTGAGGATGATCTTTTAGGTATTAATATGAAAATCCGTTGCCGTTTTAATTTTTGGATTCTTTACTTTTAATCGGCACCCTTTAGAAATCTCAAATCGTGTCAATTTCTTACTCTCTTATAGTGGGCCAGAACTTTTTTCTGTGACAAATATTGAATTGATTTTAATTTTGTTTTACTGTTTAGTAAGTGTGTTTTCGATATAAATTATTATTATCCAATTAGTTAATCTCATAAAAGAATGGTAAACCACTAAAGATTCATGATAATTTGCCAATTTTTGTGATTTTTGTCTGGCTCCTGTGCCTATTCTGCTAAATCTAGAAAGTTGCTTTTTTTCAGGTATCATGTACTTACCTATACAATAAAAAACGTAACTATTATTTTAAGTTTCTAAACTATCATTTTCTTTATTAAAAAAATTATTGAAATTTGATAATTCTTAAAAAGTTATATGTATGTATTTTAAATTTTAGTGTTGGTAAAAAATTTACACAATCTGTAAATACTTCTTTAAATTTTAGTTTTTAGGTAACTGGTTAAAATAAAACATGTTATAATAAAGAAGTTTATTTATTCTCGAACACTTCGTCATTTATTATAATAAATGACGGAGTGTATATATACACTTGCAAACTTGCAAACTTTTTGAAGTCACAATTTAAATACGCACAAATAATATTTATGAAATATTTTTGACAGTTCTGACATTTCTCTACCAAACATAAATTGAATAAGTCAAAGCCATCTAAATTTTTAATTATAAATAAAACTAACAATATCGCTTCTTAACTGCATTAAAAAAAATATTATATCTTTTACATGGATAAAAATAACAAAACAAGACTATAGACTATAACTAGACTGTAAAGATGAAGGTGGGGACTACATTTCCTGAAAGTTTCAGATTTTTATTTTTTCCTCAACATAATGATTTCAGAAGGCTAAATTGGCTAATTTTGAAAATTATCAAGTTTCAATAATTTTTTAATAAAGAAAATGATAGTCTAGAAACTTAAAATAATAGTTACGTTTTATATTGATACATGATACCTGAAAAAAATCAACATTCTAGATTTAGCAGAATAGGCACAGGAGCCAGACAAAAATCACAAAAATTGGCAAATTATTACAAATCTTTAGTGGTTTACCATTCTTTTATGAGATGAACTAATTGGCTATTAATATTTAATATTGAAAACATACTTACTAGGCAGTAAAATAAAATTACAATCATTTCAATAATTGTCACAGAAAAAAAGTTTTAGCCTCTTATAAGAGAGTAAGAAAATGACACGATTTCAGGTTTCTAAAGGTTGCCGATTAAAAATAAAGCAACTAAAAATTAAAACGGCAACGGTTTTTTATATACACAGTGCTTGCAATTGTTTGTACATATGATACCTAAAAGATCATCCTCAATTTTTTTCATTAAAATAAAAAATCATGCAGCGCACTTTTAAATTAATTTTTGGTCTTTTCATTTGGATTGACTCCTATAGGTTTACATGCACAGTAAAAAATATGTATATTTAACATATTTCTTGTGTCCCAGAAAGTCCACTCAAATTTTTTAGTTTTTTTGATTTTTATTACTTATGTTAATTTCTAACACAACAGAATGTGTGAAAGAAAATTAATATACAGGGTGGCCGATTTATCTGAAGACATTGAAATATTTCGAAAACTATGCATCGGATCAAAAAAAGTTTTGAATAAAATTTGTTCGCCTGGAAGGGGGACATCCAATGATACCAAAGTCGACCCCTCACCACCACCCTATGGGGTGGGGGTGGGGGCAACTTTAATATTCTAAATAGGAACCCCCATTTTTTATTGCAGATTCGGATTTACTATTAAAAAATAAGTAACTTTTATGGAAAAACTTTTTTTAAATTCCTGATAGATGGCGCTGTAATCGCGATTTTTGGGAATATCTTGAAAAATTGCAGATTCGGATTTCCCATTAAAAAATATAATTAGTGTATACGAGAATTGTAAGGGAATTCAAAATAAATTAAATTAATTAATTCCTTTTGATGTTCCCATGTTCCCATGGCCATGGGGTGGGGGTGGGGGCAACTTTAATATTCTAAATAGGAACCCCCATTTTTTATTGCAGATTCGGATTTACTATTAAAAAATAAGTAACTTTTATGGAAAAACTTTTTTTAAATTCCTGATAGATGGCGCTGTAATCGCAATTTTTGGGAATATCTTGAAAAATTGCAGATTCGGATTTCCCATTCTTGGGTAATTTTAAAAATAGATGTTAACTTATTGATATACGAATAAAATCCAAAAATTAAACAAGTTTTTCTTTTTTTCGATCCGATGTGTAATTTTTTAAGATATTCCCAAAAATCGGGTTTCTTGCGATTACAGCGCCATCTATCAGGAATTTAAAAAAAGTTTTTCCATAAAAGTTACTTATTTTTTAATAGTAAATCCGAATCTGCAATAAAAAATGGGGGTTCCTATTTAGAATATTAAAGTTGCCCCCACCCCCACCCCATAGGGTGGTGGTGAGGGGTCGACTTTGGTATCATTGGATGTCCCCCTTCCAGGCGAACAAATTTTATTCAAAACTTTTTTTGATCCGATGCGTAGTTTTCGAAATATTTCAATGTCTTCAGATAAATCGGCCACCCTGTATGTTATTTTTTTAAATAACTGCAAAGTTAATTTAACAAATCGTGTTGTCTCATTTTTATTTTCTTAAATTAATAATTGAGGAGCATCCGTGCAAAACCGGCTATATCCACTTTAATAAAATGTTGGGAAAATGGCAAAAACTCTCGGTTTCCTGGCCTTTACAGATAAAAGAAAAAGCAAACTTGAGTTTTGTGGGCTTTGTGGTACTTGATTTATAAGACATACTTTCGTTTTCAAAAACATTATATTAAGGTCAAAATTTCAAAAAATGTTTGGGATATAGCCGGTTTTGCTCGAAAACCGAATAAAAAACGAATAAAATGTGAAAAAAAAACCTTTATTATTTAAAAATATTAACAAAATAAATTTTGCGCAAACATGAAAAAACAGAACAAATTTTAGTAGTAGTATCGACATATCCAAGCCACATATTGGATATAGCCGGGTTTGCTATAAAAACGTGGATTTGGCCGGTTTTGCTCCAAAAGCTACCTTTTAAATGTGATTTAAACATGGATTTAGTCGGATTTAAACTGAATTATCTTGGTTGTCGATAGAAATGAACCCAAAGATGCGAAATTAAAAAAAAAACAAAAACTGAATAAAATGGATTTAGCCGGTTTTGCACGGATGCTCCTCAATTAATAGATATTATTTATCTCCACGCGGTCTATAATTTAAACTTTATTGTTGTCAACATTCGATAAAGAAATACCTTGTTATGGCCTAGGCCGATAAAAATTTTTATGAGGCAAGTAATTAGTTCGATTTTTTCTCGCTAGGGGTATTGTTTTGACAAATTAATCCTTTTCTAAGAAATTAACGTACTAAAATGGTTTAATTTATTTATAATAAGCACTAAATTGTTTGTTTTACTGTTATAACATTATATATGTTTAATATTTTTCATTAAATTATTGTAAAATTAAATATGAATAATAAAACAAAAAGTGAGGTTAGGACATTGCAATTTGACGTTTCACAGTTGTGTTTCTACGATTTAAATTATCTTTAAATTTTAATTTGTTTTAAGTTTTTAGTAAAATTAAATGTTAAACACAGCGTAAACATTCCAAACTACCTATTTTTTTAATAAAAATGCAAACAAATTGAAATTAGATACCTATTTATTAAACAATTAATTGAATTCAATGTAATAGCAAGAGGGTAAGTAAACCATTTTCTTACAAAAATCCATTTCTACTTAAATCATGTAGCTAGGTATTGTCAAACAATTACTGCTTCTAAAAGGAATAATAATTATTGTACATTTAATGTAATCTTTAGCTAATAAATAAATGAGATTCAAAAAAGTGAGGTTAGGCCGCTTTCATGTTGAATTAAATTGACCTAGGGGTCGTTAGCCCTAAAGTCGACCGTCTCCAGTAGTCGACCGACCTAACTATGTTTTAGCTAGAAATAGTTACAAAAGCAGTATTTCGAATATGCCGCCAAATTTTTAGCAACCGGACTTCCTACTTAAAATGCACCTATCAGCTCAAAGCATTTCGTTGAATGTGGTAGGAGTGCCGGCATTTTGTTTTCAGACCTGTCAACGTGCAGGTGTTTACAAGCAAAATATTGCAAAAAGTGATAGAAGTGGCTTCTTTGAGAATAGGATTTACTTACGTAAATTTAATAGATAAACAGGTCAGAACTCATTTATAAGCAGTAGAAAGTATTTTTGTGGATTATCTTGCTAAAAAGCTTAACAAACACGTTTATTCTAATAATTTTATGGTGTACGACTACTGGGTAGGAAGAAACAGGTTAATTTCTAGTGGTCGACATAAGCGGTCGACAACTGGGGAATACGCTTATACAAGCATAAAAAAGAGTTTTATGTTTTTATTGTTCGTGAATCTGTACAATAACAAATTTTAAAATTTTCACTGCATAATTTTGTCAATTTACCAGTAGTCGACCGCTTTTTAAGGTGTTAATATGCAAATGTCCGACTACTGAACCTGTTTTTTTCCAGTAGTCGTCCATCACTGCCTATTGAATCTAAATTCATCTTTGAAATGAATTAGTGTAGGGTACGCCTGAATTTTGATTTTATTTCTTAGAATAGATAATGGGGAAAGTTGCTAGAAAAAGAACAAAGAAAGAAAATTGTGGTAGTAAGCGTCCCATAC